TTACTACATAGAAATCTTTCTCGAATTCGAGCAAATCAATTGGCTCACTTATTATGACTGGAATCCACACCTGCTTAAAAAGGAAAATGAGAAAACGTATACATTACAACCCTTTTAAACCCGTCACATCACGCCCCTTAAGGCAGGGGCTATCGATTGAGCGATATTAAAACGTACTGACGAAAGTCAACACAGAAGTATTACTGACACAGATCAATCATTTACGATGATCAATTAATTTTCATAAACAAAATTTTCATAATATCATATGCATCGGTTTCAGATTATACTTTTCAAAGTATCTATTATTTTGTTTGAATTAGGTTAATGGTGGTTATTAAATTGCAGTGAGTATTAAGTAAAAGTTAATTTTAAGTTTTTTATTTAAATTCTAGGTGCATATACAAACCCACCTAGGTGCATGTGCATGTAAAAATTCTTTTGAATTAATTAAAAAAAAAGATTATATATTATAACCATTTTAGGCTGCTTGTGTGGTGGAGGTGGATTAGGTTAAATTCTAATAGAAAAAAATGGAATCACAAAATATATTAAATATCAGAAAATAATATTAGTATATTGTGGAATACAAACGCCACACACGTCACATCTTATCTAATAAATTCCTACATACAATTTAGAAGCTTGCGTCGAGTTCGTCTTCTGTTTCATTGATACTCCATGTTAAGTGAGCCGTACCTATCGATTTCTTTCGTAATAGATACTGAAGGTGATGCCACGATTACCGGCACCTCAGGAGGTTACAGGTAGAAGACATTTTCACAATGATTTGTTTTGTTACTGAACTTTAGATAAATAAAATAGATAAACGTATCAATGTACGAATATTTTTTTTCTATAACTATTTAACATTATTATCACCTCAGTATGTTTAAACATACTATAGATTAATTTTTATCTATAATTCTCATGTGACATTTTGTTTCCTAAATTATTATAATTACAAAGGAAGGCAATGTGACTGTTTCCGAGTTATATGTACTTTCTATGATTATTTAGACACCACTGACATATGGTGAAGGTAAACATCGTGAGGAAACCTGGACTTGATTTCTAATTATAAGTTTGAAATCGCCAACCCGCATTGAGCGTGGTGATTAATGCTCTAACCTTCTCCGCATGAGAAGAGACCTTTGCTCAGCAGTGAACACTTTTAGGCTGATGATGATGATGATGATGAGGGAAGGTATCTATGAAGAATACATATTAAATACGGAATGTAGTTGTGTCTTAACCAGTCCCATTCTTTACATTTATTATGTGATAGGGCAATGAGCGCAATCATTATCTGATGATCGGTAATCGCCGCCTATGGAAAACCGCAACACCAGAGATGGCACAAATGAGTTACGGGCCTCTTCGGAATTAAAGTTTCAGAGATTTAGGCATAGAGAGAGATGGAAACATAAGTTTCATTATAAATTCACCTTTTTCAATAACAGGGGAAAACTTTAGAACTATGTCCAACTTTAAGACTAACCTATGACCTTCTTATTAAGTTTTTATCATAAAAATATTAGTATGAAACGATTTTGGCACGTCTTACAACTCCCAGTATAATGTTGGGCCAAAACCTTGGAACTTGGTACCGACTTTGTTGGCTGCATTGCCACGTGCAAATGGAAAATGCTGATCACGTGTTTCATATGCAAATGTGTATTGTGTATGTATAGTTTATATATTCCAAGTCCAAGAATAAGAAGTTATATGAACGGTTATGGGCAGGGAGATAGAAAGGGCCTTTCCATCGACCGATCCGACCACGACCTCACATAAAACTGACGTGACACAGCAGTTGCGTATTTCTCCATGTGAGTGTGGTAACCAAATCTTCCCCGTGTCTACAGACAGCGAGTAAGGGAAGCTCGCAGCTCGCAGTAATCCAGAAAATAGAACAGAAGAAGGAACCGGGCATTATATTCAGTATAGTATCTCGCCACACCCAGCCGAGCGGAGAGAAGATTTGATGATTTTCCCTCCACAAATAAGACCCAATCTTCTCCATCTCCAAAACACCAAAGACGGATTCGATAATAGCGAAAAATATAAGACTCGAAATTCCGGTACCACCTAGATTACGTGTTTTTGTTAATGCAAAGATATTTTAGAATTGCAAAGATTTATGTTATATTAATGCTTCAGATTCCTAGAATCGAATGAAGAAAATTTTATTTAAATATATCGCCTATTTCTATACAAGAAAAAGTTAATCGTAATTTGTAAAGTAGGAATAATATTTAAAATATTATGGAAATTTTTATAGGTTGAAATGATTACAGTTTTTATTACTATTGTAATCCATCCAACGGTTTCTCATAAACTAGGCAAGGCAATTATACAAAGGTTATAATTACTGCATTTTTATTCAAACTAGTTTATTGCTAAAACGAATGCAAGTTTATTGTAGCCTAAGCTCATTAAAACAAATAATTGCATTGCTATTGGCTACCTTCTATATTGAGTATCAGATTTTTATTTTATTTGTTTCATAATTAATGTTAATGACGTTTGCAATTTAAATATAGACTAGCTATTCTCGCGCGGTTTCACTCGCTGCTCGGCTCCATTTGATCGTATCGTGATGATTTATAGCCTATAGCACTCAGGAACATTGTAGCTATCTATCAGTGAAAGAATTTTGGAAATCCGACCAGCAGTTTCAAAGATTAGCCCCTACATACAAACTTACAAACAGTCAGTAGCAGTACAGTCGTCATGCATTTTTAACTATTCAAATGCTGCGATCTTCTAGATGACCATGAGCTTTGCTTACCACCAGGTAATCCAGAAACTTGTATGCCTTGTATCTTATAACAAAAGTAGCTTTCTCAATCAAATCTGAATAGCATCAAAGGTGTTTGAAATATGAAACATGAAGCAATAATAAAGAACTCTCTCTGCGTACTAAGCCCAGTTGGGCGCCAAAACACGGCAGCGGACCAAACCGCTCATTAACTTTACGTTCGGCTCTCGTTAGCAAATTAACACAGTCTAGAGGTGCAAGTTTCTAAGACATCACTTAGACTAACTAAACTAGGTAACTGCAACGTCTGAGGCGTAAACTCGGTGGAAGCGTTCCACATTTACTATGTCTGTAAAAATCTGTAACATTTAACAACAATACCAATCAATGAAATTTTTCGTATTTAAACTGCCATAAAACCTTATTTGAAGCATGAAAATTACATATGTCTTTGCGAGGGTTCCATTTTCAAACGTATTGCGTTCCGAAATTCAAAATGAAGAATTATAGCATTCAACCTTTTTCGAATCTTAAAAAAAGAATTCTGATCAAGTGGACATAATTAAATACTTACGAAAACTCACTTAATATCGTTTGCAAAAACAGTAGATACATATACCAGCATCTAAACTACTCCAGTCTAACTAAACGTACACGATCAGATAATTACCCTCCAAAGGCACCGACAAACTGCTGAACAACTTGGGTAAAGGTTGACAACTTACTGACTTCACGTAACTTTATATTTAGATAGCGAACTACGAGTATCTCAAATTTGCCTGCGTTTCCAACTCCATGTATTTTTGATTCGATTTCTCTGAAGTACGCTATGAGCTTCGTATTATAGAAATTCTATTGAAATTTTGAACCTACGGTACACTTAAAAGTTAATTTAGTTTCCCATAATTATGGCATCATGGTGCTTATTACTAAACAATCTATTTAACAGCTATATCTACACACCACAGCAACAGATTTATTACGAAAAAAAAACGATAAAATTATTAACCGACGCGTCGGGTCATTTAACGACACAAAGTCTATTTATAATTAAAATTCGCAAAGAATAAATTAAGTAGACGAAGCCAATAAAAATCTAATTAAATTCTCAAAGAAATTTTCCTTATTTTCTTCCTTGACGCGACGCCACGTACGCGATACGGTCCAGTCTTCGTAGGTACTTAATTCCACAAACAACTTCCCAAGAGTACCAACCTAACAAAGTTATTAACCTGTTCCAACAATATTAACAGTAACTATAAATTAACTTAGCAGCCCTTCCCCAGGACCCTTGTAACAGTTGTAGCTAGGTCTAATGTGCGGCTCAGAAGGTCTTAGACCCTCGGTTCTGTCGTCCTTGATTTATTGTAACTGCTCGTTTTAGAACTTTCTGCGTCGTTATTATACGTCAAAAGCGACATTTTTATTGGCCGAGTAATCATGTTTTGCTCGTGGAACAGAGTCAAAAATAACGTTCGGTTACGGTCAGAAATTATTATTTATTTGTATTTAGTTTCGTAAGGCAAACGTGTACTTCCGAAAAATGCTTCTTTCCTTTTCAACACGTAAAGGATATATGTTTCTAGAGACATGCCATTTTGTTTGCCCCGCTCTAGGATTTTCTCCTGTGTCGGTAACAAACATACAATTTCACATACACATGACACCCAGACCCGGAACAACAATTTGTGACAAAGAGTTGTTCCGTGCGGGTATCGAACCTGCGACTCGAATCTGATTTGTTTGTACTAACTTATACCTATCTGATAAATGCAACAGCAAATACAGATTAAAAATTGGCGTAGTTGTACCGCCAAAAATTGTAATAACTTAGCGCTTGAATAATAGCAACTAATCATATAAATCTAAAAGCTTAAGCATTTCATTGATGTCCTTTTTAAATTTTAACCGCCGGCATTAATAAAGATATTTAAGACTGAGAACCTTACACAAACATAATTCCATCCTGTTCAATTCTCTCGCCCCCTCGGCCCGTTTATCCATCATCCTATCTTTTGTCTTCGTTGGTCCTTCGATCTTAATCACCGTCTTTTTAATTAAACATGAGAAAATTTCTTTCTTTATGTTCAATGGGGAGGAAATTGGGTAAGAAAAATGGATCGTGAACGTGAATGTTTCAAAGGAAATTTTGGGCATACCTGCTCCGTGCTCGCCGTCGGATTTTTCTTAATTTATTTCTAACTGTTTTATTAAAACCTTGTTTACAATTCACAAAATGACTGCCAATAAATTGAGAGTTTTTTTTGCCCATGGCTTCGAGCGAGCAGACAGATTACCTGATGGTAAGTAATCGGCTTCGCTCAAGGACGCCCCAATATCAGAGGAGTTACGAGTACATTGCCGGCCTCTCCATTGGAGAGAGATTATTGTTTATCATACAAAACCTTAAAATATATTTCTGTCATTTTAATAATCAACCCGTTAAACAATACTAAAACTACGCAGAAATATTCAGTTTCACAAAACCACAAGACATCTAACGCACCAATAAACCCATAAACGCAGTAAAACGCCGATACAAAGTAAACAGCCTTACGTTACCATCTCAACAACCCTATTTTAATGTTCACCAATCTGTGGCGACCGACCCAAACAAACATAAAGTTATCATAACGTAACTGTCCGTTAAACATAATCACAAGTTTCATTAATTACAAGCGGCCCATTCCAGAGAGATTTTAATTAAAAGCAAACATTGTCCCGACTGAAACGAGTGTCACACAAGATCAGTAGCACCCAGAAGACTTTTTAAACAATTCCATTTCATTCGGAATTTCGTTAGTGCCATTCTTCTTTTAATTGTTTGGATAGTTGCATGCTGCGTATGTGTTCTAATGATATACACCTATTAAGACCATATTATATTTTTTTTTTTTTAATAATATGGTTGCAGACAAGTTCTCTAATCACTAGATAGTAAACAATCGGCGCCGCTCGACACCGAGGAGTTACTAGTGCCTTGCTGACCTTTTGGGGAAGGCGATTTGCGAGTTTGAGAGGAGGAATCCTCCCAAATCCTCAAATAGCCTGGGAGGAGAAATTGTCTTAAATATAGTGAAATAACACGCAAAAGATGTTCTTATCATAAAAAAACGCGATTTACCAGTACCTAAGTAGTAAAATTTCATACAACCATTCTTGAAAGATATGTTCGAAAAAACAAACTTCTCGTAAGTCAAGTATAAATGCAGTTGAAATGAAAACATTCCAAAAGTTGGAATTTAATTTTGGCAGCGCAGTGAAGCGTTTTGTATATAAATGTAATTTTTGTCGCCGTATGCACCTGTGTCGTCTCGTCTCGCAGATATACATAATTATGTGAATATCTCCACTCCCTTTAGAAATGTTCCTTTGAAAGCCAGAAAATATTTGCTTTCAAAATTTCTTAAAGTTCATAAGGTCAGGCATTATTGATTGAATTCGGTTTTATAGTTTTTGTGTTATTTTGGTACTTAAAACAGAGTACAAAAAGTCAGCCCATATCAACTATCACCATAAAGGATTGGAGTGCAAAACAGAGTTTGAATAAAATATTAATGAATCTAGTAATTATATACTTCCTTATATACTTCTGGTTAGATAGTACCAGACATCAGTATTTTATAAATATTTACCAGAACAACAGTGTTAAATGTAATTCTATGACCACGAGTCCGTGGTGAACTTAAATGGATATATAAAACTAACATAGTTTCAAATTTCGAAACTTAACTACGATCATAGCTATGGACAAAGAACATAATAACAAATATAATTAGGAATTCAGTCTCCTAAATGCCTTTACAGAACCAGTCCATACCCTGGCACAATACATCCTTATCAACCTTAATCTCTCCGTTGACGTTCCATTAATATTATTAATTACTATCAGAGTACACTGAAGGTGCTTTGGAGGTGGTACAGCGGTCAGTCCAAAACTCGGGAATAATCTAGAAACTTCCTAATGCTTGTTTAATTAAACTTGTTCTGACTTGATACCGTGCCAAATTATTATCGGGACACCGCACTGAGGTGGTCGGACCTCTTTGCACCCTCTGCCCACTGTGATTGTTATTATTGAAAGAAATAGAAGCTTTAATAGAAAATATGTTTGCCACGGCTTGTATTACGTACTATAAGAATTTGTATCAATTATTAAATAAATTAAATTAATCTTTGCTAATATAACAAAGATGAAATATTTGATTGATTAAATTGAACAGGATGTGAAACTAAATTACTGATTTGAAAAATTCTTTCGCTTTTGAGAAGCTCTACACTATCCCGGGTTTAGGTTATCAACAGCGGTTCACAGCTGGAAAAATTGATAAGTCAGTAACTTGTTATCCTTTTTCCAAATTGTTCGGAAGCTTTTCGATTCTTTTAAAGAGTAAATAAATTATATGGCCTTATAATGTAAGTTTTAGTTAGATTGGAGTGGTTCAAATGCTAAATGCTTGATTGGCATTGATCCGTTTTTAAATTATGTTAGTTTTTGGTTACTATAGGGAGTCAATGAAACTTTCCTCTTATACTCGGTTGAGTCAAGAATTTAATTTTCTTAAATTAAATTAAATCTTTTTAGAAAATTAGTACATAATTATAATTATGCATTATGTTAAGTTTTATCAAATAAGAATTCTAAAGGGTGTAAAGGCAATGAGGTAAGTTAAAAAAAAAATATTTTAACCAATGAAAATGTATCTTTTTTTTGTTTGCACTTTTGCATTGCATTGAGAAGCTGCAATTCAAACGGTACATACGAACGAGTGGTATACTGGTACTACATAAAACACATTCTCTTTCAAGTTATTCTCACTATAGTAAGTAATGTAAGCCGTATTACACGTCAAAGGGTGAAAGAACTGAGGCCAAATAGGTCGAGGGTAGAAAAAATTGGCAGACATACTTGGCCGAGAAACGCTGAATAAGCCGCGCTCTACTAACGCTGAGACGACACTAGATGGCGTTACTTGTTACTTTCATTTCTTGTTACATTTTATTCTATAAAATATCGTAACGTCATGATTCGTCTTGTCTTTAATTTCCTGAAGGATTAAGCAGAAGTACTATAATATCCAGATCTCTACTATAGTTACAAATTTTCTGAATACCAAAAAATCCAATAATATTTCCGAACCAGATATTTATAATCCTGCTCAGCAAACACGTATGCAATAATTATTTTGAGACTGTTTTTGAACAGTAAGGATTGAACTAATTCGAAATTCAAAATTATGTGTTGCCAGTGTGTACACTGCCTAAGAGCTGTCACCGCTAGAGGTGCGACTTACTCAACGCGTTGACTGACATTGATTGCCTTATCAACAAGCTTGCGTTCACATTCTTTACTTATGTTGGATTTTTTCACCACACCAGGATTTTTTCGCTATTTTTTATATTAAGTAGGTTACATACAAATTGTACAGAATCTACGTAATAGAAGGCAATCTCATACCGTAAACCTAAACAAACAAATGTAAATAAAAATCATGACAACCCTAAACGAACCGCAAATAGCGTTTAAAATTGGAATCTCGTTCCAGCCCTATTGTTCGCAACAAAATTATTCACAGATTAAAATAAACACCAATAAATCAAAGGAAAAAGTAAAGTCGAAAGTCATTATGGTGGTCGGTGATAAATCACAGCTGATATTCCGGCGGCCATGACAGTATGGTCACGTCTGACCCTTATCACAAGTTCATAATCGCCTCCCGACGTTGTTCGTACAAGTTGCACTGAAATACATATCGATTCTAATTATAATAAATGAATAGAAACAAAAGAACACTTTTAGGTGAATTAACTATTTACTTGGAGGAAAAAATGGTTTATGTATTATGTTACCTAAAGTATTAAATAATATTGTATAACATTTATTTGTCGAACTGTACAAAGTCTTAACTCTACTAAGCATAGTAAGGAAACCAAATGTGTCTACCCTTTATGCCACAAACACAATGAAAATAGCTCCATAACTATTCCCACACGGTTTCAGTTTTGTACCTCGAACTTGCGGCCACATCAAAGCGTTTCACATTTGCTTAACCATTAACACACTTGGCTTGCCAGTGTACCTGACTGACTCTTGAACTGAATCTTACAATAAGGAACTAACGAAAAGCAAGAATTTCTCCCTAACCTAAAACACGACGGTTTTTATTTTAAAATACCTCGGAACAAAGACCGGTGAAGTTTTGCCCCAAGTAATTGTTCTTTAGGGAACTTCTATTGAAAATTATTGCTCACACGAATAAAGTGCGATTTTTGTTTGTAGTTTTTAATGGCTGCCGCCTATGCAAAGTTTGATAACTTTGTTTTATGTAGGTAACTATGTTCTTTACGCTGATACTTTCTATTTTAATTATTATGTATAAGGGTCAATCTCCTTGGGTGAATTTAAGTAGATAGAACATGTATAGAATAATTTTGCGGCGTTTAAATACATACTGAAGGTGTTGTAGTCCTTACTTCCCGTATGTGGATAAATAAATAAAATGACATTTTCTGCATCACATAGGAGGAACTTGTAGGAACCAGCATACCTTTATAAATAACCTCAACGTTTCAACGTTATAAAGGACGACGACAACGAGTGTAATTTATTTGAGTCATTCTCCGAGATTCTCCGAGGTGACGGTAGAAATATGATGCATTTCGCTACATTTCCGCAACCAAAATGAAAGAAAAGGACGACATGATAGCTATTTGGCGTCCCTTTCATTTAAGTCACCTATTTTCTTTAGCTCCTTTCATGGTGTCCCTCAGTTGGGAAAGCATTTGCAAGTTTAATGGAACGGGCGGCCGGAGAAAAGACTCCACTTAACAACGGCTCCTAAATTCCATGGAGCGATAATGTTCCTTTAAAAGTTTGACTTTGCAAAGGCTACTTAAATAGCTTTTACATAGATTATTTAAATAGTTGGTACGCGAGCTATACGGACTGTGAATAAAGTTTCCTCGTTCGAGGGAACCAGTACTCTCAATAGAAAAACAACCATAAAGAAGTGATCAAAGCAAGAGCTCCTAGGCGTATTCCAATTTCGATTTGCTCGGATGCTTTTTGCTACAAAAACAGTACAGCCCGCTCGTAGAAGACGAATTCATCAGAGCGAGTTAATGAACGCTAGAAAAACTGTTGAATTGAAAATTTCGCCGAGTCAGAGAGTCGGTGGCCGCGGGGTGGGTGTAAGTACGACGGCCGATGTTTTTTATGTCATAAATTAAAAATTTTGCGCTTCTTGCATTTTAAACAGGATCAGTTTGATGAATTTTGGATTACAGTATGATGGATGGACGTTCATCCTTTGCTTTCGTCGAGCTTGTTACACTTAATAGGAAAAAGATGTAAAAAAAATGTAAAATATATAATTTTTTTATAATACTTTTATTAATACTTTTCGTCATTTAATATTTCAATCGTGAGCCTGAAACGCCGGTTTTTCTAATTCTTACTAAACTAAATGCTATTTCATTCAACATAGTAATACCAAATTAGTAAACAATTTTTTTTCGAGACTGGGGAGTCATTTGCTGACTTTAAAAAAATTAAATGAGACAAGAAGGAATGTCAGAGACTTACTGACTAAAAATAACCTCGTTCCTTCTCCTAATGCGAGCCGAGGCCGCGGTAGATTATTGCGTTTGTACTCGCAACTCCAACCATCCCATAAACGTGCTACACTAACAAAATATTTCTATATATATTGTAATGAGGTACTAGACAGTTATACTATGCACACAATACTAGGACACCGCAGCTTCCTATTCCGTGCTGAATTCGATTTAGCAACACGTTCGTGGTGGCACACAGCTGGTTTAATGAACAGGCAGTTACCATTCAAGCCAGCCACTACATTTCCTTGAACCACTGTTTAATTAAGTATTCAAACTAATGCACCGATATTATTACTGTATTTCACACAAAGAGAATTGCACTAGAATAAATAATTTGATAAATATTTTTCGCAACGTACAGTTGTTAAACAGATTTTGTGGAAGACACGGGGCTTCTAAGAGCCGTCTCCGACTCCGACTTCAAGAGACTTCTAACACTGTGTATGGAAACAAAAAACTTATAAAAAGTTTAATAGGTACTACACGAATATATGTACATACTCTAAATTAATATATCTAAGCTTACTAATATTTTAGAGCTATAGAGTTTGTTAGGTTTATTGAACGCGCTAATCGCCGGAACTAGTGGTTCGATTTGGATTTTTTTTTGTATTTGTTAGTTTATTTATCAAAAAAGGCTATGAAAAATCACGCTAGGATCTGTAGGAGCCGAACTGCGGGTGAAACTAGGTGAAAGTAGGTAGTAGTTAATAATCACACAGTCCTTAAGTTAATGTATCGTTGAAGAACACTCACACACAAAGTGATATATTTTATAAAACTACGGAATGGATGAAAATGTCTGTGTGTCATCTCAGTACATAAAAGGTGACCTCCCTTTGAGACTTCCACTCCCGCCTCCCGCCCTCTCGCGACAATGGGAGACGTTGTCTGGAAGTAGGCTAACATTAAAACGGTTACATTCAACCCCGGAATTGTCCCACATGACATCAAATGAACTTACTCGGTATTTTTGCGTTAGAAACGCCATCTACGGGCCAGTGCATGTACTAAACACTATCTTAATATAAAAAATAGGAACAAACCCGTTCAAAGCAAAACTGTTACAGATTACATTTTTATTTTCATTTGAAGGAAAAAGTAATCAAAATAGCAAACGAGCTCTCGATTCTAGTTTTCCGATTGGATTACACAGATGCATGGTTGGTTATTTTTTATTTATTTTCTAGTTTTCGCTCCTGTTTCGACGAGTTTCCGTGTCGATTTTTTGTTAAATGAAAGCAATATCGTATGGCACGGTGATTCTAAATGTCATTTTTCAAATTCGTTCATTTTTTTGATGCATGACGTTTTCTAATTAAAATAGGTTGTTTAACATCAGATATTTTTTATAAGCATTGAAAGCCATTTAAAAGCCAAGTTATTTATTGTATACTCATAAAATCAGTTTCATAATAAGATCCGTGGAGGCAACTGCAAGCATCCTTACATAATAATATATGATAAAATGTGAAAAAAAATTAATTACATTAGATACCTATACAATTAAGTTTTCTCTCTGGGCGTATGTAGCTACTCAATGAGTGTTTTTTAAATGAGTATTTCAGATTCAGAATCTAAAAACCAATCTCGCCACTGAGTTCTCTATAAATACGAATCGTTTACACAAAGACATTCCTATTTAAATGAAAACCTTTATCTAAAACCTCTTTATTGTAACAGTTTAACAATTACAGATTTCCTATTTAATTAGGTTGTGTTAGATTTATGGCGGGGTCGACCCCAAATTTTACCAAAATGGCCGCCGTTGTCACAGCACGTAACTACTTTTGGCCCCAAGTTAAGTTACATCATTTGATTAAGTTATTCCAAAATTATTAAGTATTACTATTTATGTGTGTGCCATCTGCTTACTAGTAGTAACGAAATTATTAAGCGTAAAATTACTTTTCTGATGGAAGCAAATTTGCAATTTTCCACCAATGTAGTCTTGACATATATTATTCGTTTGTCACCGGACCTCTCTGTTTCTCTCGCTTCTGTGGTTGAACTAAATTCTCATGGTGAAATTTAATACTAAATTGTGGGTCATATTCATTTTCAATTATAAGGAGAGACCTAATTACTATGCTGTTACCCTATTTGGCTGTGCCCTATAGGGTCCATAATTGATCTTACACAAATTGTTACCACCTTCATATGTACTTATAGTAAAGCAATAAAGATATTGAGCATTAAGTGGTGCTTACAATTAATTCGACTAATTAGACCAATTAATTTCAATCAAGAGTAAAAGAGCCACGCTTTGGCATGAAAGGGCCGGCTCGGTCAGAGTGATACCATGGTGTAAATTTAATACTGGCGTGAACAACAAATTTGTAACTCCATCGGTGTAGTGAGGGTTCATGAGCGGCTTGCCTTACATGATGTAGACTAATCATCATCCCTGTTTAATAATAATAAATATTAATAATTTTCTATTGAAACAAAAGATAACCCGTTTCGATACTAACGTAGAAAACATAACAATATATTTGTATTATAAAACAAACAATAACATTTTAAACAAAAATATACATAATCCGTATACTCAAGTATAGATACGTATAATGAGAAAATAAGAAGCGCATGGTTGCCGACGTTGACGGGACTTTAATATTCTTCAAATCCCAGTTAGAAGGGAGAGGGTAAAGTTGCTCGTATAATCTCTAATCCAAACATCCATACATACATGTATGTATGTGTGTATGTATGGATGTAGCATCCGCCACCATAACTTTCAGGAATTTTAACACATAGCATTGTAGAATGTGGCGTTCTGAATGTTTTATCCCTTACTTATGTTTTAAATTTAATTTGAATTTATAAGTGAAGTTAACTGAACAGTTTCGTGGTATAGGTTTTCAAAAGTTTTCTGAATTAGCTAGGTTTTAATGACAATAAATATATTTTGATAAAGTCACATTCAATAAATGGATGGGAATGATCGTATTATCATATGTCAAACCTGTATTCCAAACTCTTTACCATTACAAGAAAATATTCACTTTGCCAGACCCGAAATTATACCCGAGACTATACAGACTCAGCAACTGTGCCTATAATAGTTTATACCAACAAATCTTTATAAAAACGTAATCAGAGCAATTAGTTAATTGAAGTACATATCTCATTCACACTTGATACATTAGTAAATTATCTAAATTATTGTGTTTTCTTGCTTCAGGTATAATGTGTCGCGCGTGGTGGCTGATGGTGGCCGCGGTGCTGGCCACCGCCATCGCCGACGAGGCCTCCGACCCTGAAGGGCTGCTTGAACCAGTAGCTGGTGAGTGAAAACATAAATTTATAATAATGAAAATATTTTTTAACATTTCCAAGGTCATCACAGGAACAAAATTATTACATAACATCACATCGTAATTGATTCACAAAATTTTTTTTTAGTTATTAAAAGTCAAAACTTACCATGTAGTTTTCAGCTAACCAGATATTCTTTATACATACTAAATAATTCGACCTTACTATCTTTGAGTATGAAACATAAGAACTAAAATACAAATGAGAAAAGGAACGCAAGAAAATGCTATTCGAAGATTACTTCCTCAATAAAACCCGACTTAATTACAACTCGTAGCTCGTAGCAGTTTCGTAGCAGCCTACGACCGGTCGTAGCACGTCGTAGCACATAATTCTCCGAGCACACAGCCATTATTCTGGTTATTATGTAGTCTGATAACGCAGTAAGCTGACAGTAGAGCAGCCATATTTAAAAATAGGTATAAAAATGTATAACTAGATAAGAAATTTAATCTTAATGTAAATAGCGTTAAAGCCCTTGGTACATGTGGATATTTTTTAATAAATGTTTTATGATACTTTGTAAGGGTGCTTTACCGAGGTAGGGGCGAGTATTGGTTGAAAGCTAATTAAAATTACGCAACTTGTTCAAATTGTTTGAAGGCAACTTTGATTTACCAAGAATAAACATATTTTTTATATTTAGGAAGTAAATATAATTTATAATGATGATTCCGTTTTTAGGTTTTTGTAATAAAATTAAAGAATAAAAAGTACCACATACGCTCATCAAATATGAGCCAGTTACCTAAAAGCAAAGAATATAACGAAGTATTTCGAAATTCCAAGGTCACATTTCAACAAGATATTCACACCCCTATAGAAAGTCGCGACCCTCAAAAGGCATCATGAATATTTATCACAAAAAACCTTCGCATACACTATACTCATTAAACTCATAATCACATATTTTGTGCGAGAAACATTTTTCCGAATTCATAACTTTGTGTTTCGCGTGCCGGGCCGGATGCGAGCGCGCCGGGCCGGATCGGACCGCGCCACTCCACCGTCCGGCCGCGATAAAACTATTTTTAATTAACAAACTGTTTAATATTCTCTGTGAAAAACGCAATATTACTTGGCTGTTCCCTCTCTCAAGTAATTCTACGCAAACATTCTTGTTCGGTATCAGATTAATTTTGTTGTGAAATGATTTAAGTTTGGTAGCGATGCTTTGAGGTGAACGGCATTGTTGTTGAACATTTTGTAGAGAATTTGTATTACTCTGAATATACGGAGTTATTTTTTAATTTATGCCAGTAAACGTAGATAATATTATATTTAATAAATAAATTTTTAAGCTGAGACCATCAAGTATAAATATTTTGTTAAGTAAAACGTAGTGAATTTCTGAAATGGGATACCATCATATCACTACTACACACTGACACAATTACGTCTACGCCTTGGAGATAACTAAAGCCTCTCTCCATCTTGTGTCAGATGGCGCTCCCATAAGATCATAGTCTTAAAGAAAAATACTTATATTTCCCTCTCACTATAACTTTTCGTATCCTAATAATATTTAACATCCCATATTAAAGCTTGTATCCCGAGATAAAAGGAATATATTTATTGTCAATAATTTGAATAAAATTCTACAAATTCCTAGGACATAAATGAAATACCATCGTTCTCAAAATTCTTAAAATGGTTTCTTAAACCACTCCAAAACTAAAATCGTATCGTGTCGACTTTTACCGTCTAAAAACTACCTCGATCCTCATACTGCTTGCAACCACAACCCCGGCTGAACATAATTATAGGGACTTGTGATAAGAACTTGTTTTGCATAAATAATAATTACAACATGTCTAATAAAACTGTCATAAAAATAGAAAAGTTGATTTTAAATGTAAGAAAGATAACATCGTGTAACAGTATAATGTTACATCGTGTAAAATGCTTAAGCGACATGACGCTTTGTGTAGATGGTATTGAAGTTCATTTTCGTTTAGCTAGTTGAATAATAAAAAGAAAAACATTTACTTACTTTATTTACTTGGATAAAGAAATGTAATGTATTGCTGTGTTCTCTGAATGACTGGAGGTAACAATATGCTAATTTGCGCCATTTATTACACGAACCCTTTTTTCCATGTACTTTTACTTCGTCGTAATTTATTTATGTTCTTATCAAGTACTTTGTTTCGAGTTATAATGCTAAAAAAACATCACGATACGTATTTTTCTCTAACTAAGCAGAAGGTAAAAGCACCCACTTTTGAAAAATTGTTGATAAGAGGAAATCCTAATTGTTCACTGACTGAAGGTTTGTCTAGTTCGTGGCAGGTCTAACTAGTAAAATCTTGTTAAAACTATGTTCTCCGTACGTACGTTCCTTTAAATACGCATAATACATATCAATATATACACAATAATGATCGTTAAAACAAAGCTAACCATTCCAGCGCTTTATTGTGTAATACCAGTCAATTTTTTTGGCTTAAAACTCAACACAATTTTAATACAATGCAACTGACATCAAAACGAAATATTTTTAATAAATACCCTGGGCAAGTAATAAATAATTCATGGCCCATTCCATGATTTACGATCCCATTCAAAACCATAACAAAAATATACGATGTCCATTAAAAATGAAACTTATGACGTGGTACATTATTTTTGAAATTAACAGTCGACGTTTTAAGGTTTTCTATAAAATTAACCTTTTATTGGTACAAATAATCTTTAGTAACTCAATATATTTCGTAGAAAGTGGAAGATGATCTTGGTCGTTGTGTTACGGGTAGCTTTTTGATACATAATTTTCCTATTCAAGGAATAATACAACGCAAAGATGTTATTTGTAAAAAAATACAGATCTTATAATTAGCATATCCAGATCCACTTGAACAAAAAAACGAAATGTTCTTTAACACAATGAATCAAAGAGCTATAACAAAAATATTTACAATATACATAAAACAAAATAACAACAATAAAACAACAAATAAGGGATTGATATTTTAGTTCAACATACATATTGTCTATGCAAGTAATGTAAGGAGTCCGCACGTAAATTCAATCTCCATGATCCGGGAAATAGAGGCAGAATGCGTACATTCCCTTGCCTTAGACATGTCATGTAATGTTACGAGCGAAATAAAAATAAAATTCTATCACACTGGTTCGTCCCTATTATGTTATGTAACATAATATTATGTATTCTGTCTGTCCATTGATCTTGTACATGTGTAATACGTAGCCGGTGCACGTTAAACAGAATGTATGCAACTATTCAACATTTTATTGTTTTGTCTTTTTAATATTATCGCTTGAAACTTTTGAAAAAGATACCGGAGCTCTACATAAAAAGGCATTACACTGTTGACATTTTCAATTGATTAAGACAACGTATTATTATATTATATGTATGTACAAATGCATTATAAACGAAAACGAACAGAAATTCACCCACAAGTATCTTTTAAACTGCCTTAAATTAATGTCTACTGAAAGAGTATCCAAGTCTTACAAACGTGTAGAAACAGATTATATATAGCATATATATGTATGTAGGTACTATTCGTGATCCAACAGACAATTTTCCAGTACACACAGGCAAACACGCGTGCCGCTACATAAACAGTCCAGTAAACAGATCCCGAACATTACAAACAGGCTTACGTATGTAGTACTGGACGTAACAAGGAGTATTTAGCGAATGGAGGACGCATACGAAGAATAATAAGAATTATTGGCTGTAATTTGTATACGAATAACACTTGAGAAATTTGCACGCTATATTAACTGCAAATTATAGGTATTTAGGTACGTAATATATTTTTCGTAAAAAAAACTTTTTTCTAGTGCCGAAGTAACTTTTCCAAAGCGTTTAAATCCGGCTAATTCAAATATGACCTAGTTAGTTTTATATAATATTAATTCAAAAAGGTTTCGAGTACTTCAAATAGCCTAAATCAACTCTAACAATGATAATTACATACACATACGGGTAAATAATACTCACATACCAAATAAACAATATTATATTATAACAATAGCACGCGTTACGAATATTCGTTGACGCACAGCTGCTGTAGTGAGGCAACTAACACAATTACTCTGTGCGCTCACTACTCTGTGGTTCGTTGTTGCCGACATACGTAGGCACATACCCGCAGATGGGCTTAACTTCGTTAAATCAATATTAACACGTTTTCGACGATGCACGCCGGGTATTACAACCAGCAAACTCCAGCGTTCCGCCATTTAATTCCACTTATTAGTTAGTGTAAGGTTTTAAGAGCTTAAATACGATCCGTTTGTTCTGTTGTTGTAATTTCGATTTGTATAAAGTGTTACAAGTAGCAGTTTCATTATAGTTTTGTTCTAACTAGTTTAAGTTTAGTTTGAAATTGATAGGACTTCTCGTCTTTACTGTTGTGTTACTAAGTAACATATTCCTTCCAGTATAATATATGATAAGCACGATATCAACCTTAAATTTTTCCCCTATAACATAATACATTCCTACTAAGAAAAAGCAACGTGACCTACTCCCGACGAGACCCAACCAAAAAGATCACATGTCACTGCCAGGGATCGCATAATGCGGTTACATTATAAGAGGGGTCCTCTCAAAAACATTTTACGATGAACACATTCTATAGAATATCAAAAAAATGCACAATCCGTAACAAAAACAGAGTAACAATGTACCCATATTTTCTATCCAATATTAATTCCTCCTTCACGAACCCACCCCTAGGCGAAAAGATGATAAAAACGCTACATGAAAGCGTGAATTTCCCCGAAGAATGTATCTAAAAATATATTTATATTTTCACCAAAATGGCGGCCGAAAATTGGCGGGAAACGTCGATAACTAAACGAGAATAGTTACGCGCGTGGGATGTCTGACCTGAATAAACATTGAGGTAATATGTATATACCTCTTATTATATTATTTACTTCAAAAATACAGGTAAATATGTATATGTTTCAGATTTATTTTCACTAAAATAAATGCTTAATGTTTTTACACATATTTTACTTCAATAAAGGTAAAACTTTTCTCCGGCACGTACCAGGTTTAGGGTCGTATCACACGAAAATGTTATCTCGCAAAGAAATCATCACCGTATCAACTTAAGCGGCTTAGTATTCTTTGTTTCGGAAAATCTTTACTGAACGCACACGAATGGGAATCGTAATCACCTCGCCTCGGACAGGTGCACGGTCCGCGGTGCGGTGCGTGGTCGACTTGCAGTTCCGAGGCTTACTATTGTTCGTCCACACCCTTCTCACAAACACACTTAAAATCGACATCATTCAGATAGCAGCTTCCAGACCATTTACACGCGTAT